TTGAGTTACAATTGACACAAAACCCATCACAATATGTTAAACTCAAACAAACAAAATATCACACACATTACCATGAATCTGTCATTAATAAATAGACTACAATGTCAATACAAAAACATAGACTACAATGTCAATACAAAAACATTCATTCATTGTTAAACTACACCATTCATTCATCCATTTTCCAACATAAGCCACTGTCAATACTACACAATCTAATAAGACATAAACTTCACCATTCATTCATTGTTAAACATCAACATTCTAACAAAACATTGCCCAACCAAACACACCAACTGGGGGGTAGAAAACACATCAGTAGCAAAACCAAAAACAAAAGCAAAAAAAGTGCATGACCATTCATTACAATTGTTTGTAGAACTTGCCAACAAAAACACACCAAACTGTTGAAAACTTCACATTATCTAATGCCTAGCTTTTTCAGGGGTCTTGTTCCTATTATCCTTCCCCTTGTGAATGTTCATTTTTTTTTGGCTTCAGGTGCATTCTGAGATTGTTGGGTAGTAGCAACTTTGAAAGGCTCAGCTCCACCACAAACACCCACTTCAAGAACTCTTTTAGTACCCTGTGAAACATGTATATAAATCAGATAACAACAATTAGATTTCTGAGATGTGTTTGTTACTACCTAATCATGAACTTCACCATAACAGACTTAAATTAAGTAATTATTACCTTACTGTTTGCCCTTGTAGCCTACAATGCAAAAAAAAAGGGTTAGAGAACAACAATTACATTTCTATAAATCAGATAACAACAAATGTTTATAAACTATACCATTCTTCCAGTTTCATTTGGTGATGCAGAAGCTGGATTTTTAGTTCTTGATCTTGTGGCCTACAAATACAAAATAAACTGAAATTAATGAACAAAACTTAGAAAATATATAATGATTACAACTAATTGTTATAAATTGTACCACTCCTCCAACTTCATTTGTTGTTGACAACACATTTGACCCTTCACTTCTTGATGCAGAAATTGGTTTGTTAATTCTTGATCTTGTGGCCTAAAATGCAAATAAACTGAGACTAATGAACAAAAATCAGAAAATATAAAAAGATTACACCTAATGATTATAAATTGTACCACTCCTCCAACTTCATTTGCTGGTGACAACACAATTGACCCTTCACCTCTTAATGCAGAAACTGGTTTAATTCTTGATCTTGTGGCCTACAATGCAATATAAACTGGATTTAATGAACAGAAAATGAAAAATATAAATTGTGATTACAACAAATGATTGTAATTTGTACCTTTCTTGCATTCTCATTGGCAGCTGGCACATCTAACCCTTGAGTGGTTTTTTCAGAAACAGGTTTTTTAGGACAACCCCTAGCATTATGATTTGGTTGCTTACAAAATGAACATTTCATGACCACTCCTTTTTTGCTGAGCCTTACACCATTGCCAGTTTGATGTGTACTCAGATTTTTCCACTGGTTTCATCTTTGCTTCTCCTCCTTTGATATTTCTTGGGCCGTCCAGGTAATCTCCCAACTGCTGGTGAGACTAATGGATGAACCTCAACCTCAGGCCACTCATCTGAGCTAGCTAAAGTTCCCATCAAATGACTGTAAACCCTCAAGTAAGTTTCTTTCTTCAATGATTCATCAACATAATCCTCTGGTTCATGACCTAAGTAATACATCCCTGATATGGCATGTTGACAAGGGATGCCAGTGAGCTCCCACTTTCTACAAGTGCCTGTTTTCTCACCAATGTGAACTTTAAACTTGGTTCCTGAACTGCCCTCAACTTCAAACTGGTCCTTACCATTCCAATATGCCACAAATTCCATGCTCTTCTTTTTCAATTCTTCAAGCAGCTTATCGATTCTAGGGCACAGATTTCCATGGTATTTCAGCATTTTATCCCTCTTAACATGGATTCTCTTCATTAGTGTCATCCTCACCATCTCTAACATTTTCACTATTGGTTGAGATCTAGCCCTTATAATCAAAGCATTGAAACTTTCTGACAAGTTATTCAACAGAGCATCACACTTAGAGTGTGTACTGAAGTGAGACCTAGACCAATGTGCAGGTGGCCTAGCATTTAACCATTCAAAGGCAGGTACATCCCTTTGTTTCAGCTCCATCATGGTGTTCTTGAAATCTTGAACTCTGGTGGCTCTTGCAGCTTTCCACAACAAAGTCTTAGGAGCTAGACCCTTATGTGAGGCTTTGAAATTGGCATATAGATCCTGCACACAAAATCTATGCTCAGCCCCAGGTAGAAGAGTGTCAATGGACTCTACCAAACCCTTTTGCTTATTTGACATGAATGTCCAATGGTAGGGGTTTCTAATATTCAAATCATTAATTAGTAACTCCAGAAACCAGCTCCAAGATTTTTTCTTCTTCTTTTCAACTACTGCATATGCAAAGGGATACATGCCATTGTTGGCATCTATGCCCACAGCAGTCAACATAACACCCCCAATTGATGTCTTTAAATGACACCCATCTAAGAATATCACTGGCCTACACCCATCTAACAACCCATCCCTTAAGGCTCCCCAGCATATATATAACATTTTGAAAAAAGTTTGTTCCCCAATTCTCTTACACTTGATTTTGACTGAAGTGCCAGGATTTGTCTTTCTAATCTCAGCAGCATAGGACCACAACATAGCAAACTGTTCACAATGTCCCCCAGACCCACTTGCTAACACTTTCTGTTTGGCCCTATATAATTGACTAGTGTTGAAAACAAGTTTGTGCTCACTCTGCATGACTTTCTGCATGGACTCAACAGGCCATCTAGGATCAGACCATATTTTTTCTCTATAAGTTTCAGCCAACCATTTGGAGTTGGCATGAGACACCCTTTGATTCCTAGGGCACCTGTGTATGGGGTTATAGTTCCTAACTTGAACACTGTCTTCACCTGACAACACTGCAGCATAAATGACCCATGGATACTTTTGATGCTTACATTTCACCTGAACTTTGGTCTTCTCATTAATTTTGAAACAAACATCTCTACCATTTTTTATTGCACTTTCTCTCACTGCTTTTCTGAATTGGGCCATATCAGGAAAGAACATTCCTAATTCAAACTTAGGGTTATTCATATCTGACTTCTCATTGAAAATTACACGACTCTTATGACCCTTACTACTTTCTGCCCTAGTTTTGACAGACTTTGAAATATTTTGAGATAAGTCCATCCCCACACCCCCAAACTCCACATCAAGATTAATATTATCATCAAACCAATCATTATCACATTTAAAATCAGATTTCTCTCCTTCACTGTCATCAAAAGTTTCAGATAGTTCAGAATCTGACCCTAAGGATTGCTCATCATCACTACTCAAACCATTATCAAAAGTGCCCCTACCCCTATCATGATCATCCACATTACCACCCATAGAAGAAGGATTTTCAATCAGTTCATATTCATCATTATCACCTTCATTATCACCTATAAATTCCAAAGGCTCACTAATTGCAGGAAGTTCAACTGAGTTTTCAGAGGTGTTTATTTCATGTTCCACATACAGACCAACTAATTTATGTTCATCCACCATAAACACCATTTGCATGACAATATGATCATTTTCTAACAACACAAGGTCATTGCAGTCATTAACACCACTCCTACTGCAGTACACATTTTTTATAGCATCGATCCCTAAATCTTCTAGCATGCTCATTACTTCAATTAATGACATTTCATCAGGGTGACAATAATCGACATGTGAAATCTCACCATTTAGATAACACTTGCGGCCCAAATCCACAAACTTGCCACAATGGTAAACCCTAATTGTAAAATATTCATCATTTGGTCCTGCAACCCATATGACAATTACAAAAATATAATCAATCACTATAAACTGCAAAATTATTACAATAATTGTTGTATGAATTAACATATTTTGTCAGCAAAAAACACAAAACAAAACTTACCATATGACGGGCCATTCGCACTGGATGAATCGTTTTTCTCACGAATTTGCCAACCCATTACAAACGATTTGAAGAAAATATAGATTTTCAATCAGTTCATTTGGTTTGTTAATCTTTGTTTTTTCTCAGAATTTTTGGCACGATTTGAACAAAACTAGGGTTTTTTTCTCTTTCTGTCGCGTTTAATTGAACCCCAATTGGGAATTGGGAATTTTATCCCTGTTTTAGAGAAAGAAAAGACAGAAAAGCCCCTGAGAATGGCCGCCGGTGACCGGAAACAGGTGAAGTGCAACATTTCATAAAGTTTTGCCTGGTTAAGTGTCGCAAAACGAAGTTTGGTGGGCAAAGTGTAAAAAATCGGCTCATTAATTGTGTAAGGATTTGTTTCTCTTTTTCCTGTTTTTGAGTTTATCAAAACCGTTGTTTGACAGTAAATATTTGTTTTTCTTTTTCCTATTTTTAGTATAAATCTACACAAGTTTATCTCTTCTGTTACAAAATACCATTTAAAAAATCTCATCCCTTATCTATACAGATTTAAAAAAATAAAATATAATAGAAACCAATTCATAATTACTACTAGAAATCCATTATCTTTTAAAAAAAATAGAAATCAATTCATAATTACTACTAGAAATCCTCTATCCATTATCTACTTTAAGAACCTAATTTTCGATCTAATTACTAATATTCTTACAAATATTATAAGCTAACCATACAAAAAAAGTATAATAATAATTTTGAAATGGTGTATAATCAATTTTTTTTATATTCTCTTATACAAAATAATTTTACATTGTTTGACCTCGAATCTTTAATTTATAATTATTAAGTATTATTTATCTTCCTCTTTAATTTATAATTTTATTTTTCTTCCTCTTTTTGAATAGGATCAATAGTAATTTCCACTTCCGCCATTGAGTGACTCAAACTCGAGGACCATTTATAATATTGTTAATTTAATATTGTTCCCGTGCATCGCACGTGGTACACACTAGTTGTTGCAAAGGAAAGAAATTGTATTAGAATGAACAAGGGAAGAGAATCTCAAACTTGAAGATCATCAAAGAAGGAAAGCAAACAACAATTCATGATATCACAAATATAGTTCATACAATTAGATATGGCACTTTCTTAACCTATCAAAATAGACTAGTTATCCTGTTCCAAGACACCAAAACATAATGAGAAGGATAGCAAGTTTCACTTGTTCCATATAAAAGCTAATACAAAATGAGAAGGATAGCAAAGTTTCAAGTTCATCTTGTTCCATGAAGCTAATAATACGAAATAAGAAAGATAGCAAGTTTCCTCCAGTTGAAGGATTCAAAATACAAAACAAGAAAGAAGAACGAGAAGAGACCACAAGTGTATTAGGAGTAAAGGAGATTCATCAGGTGACAACCCTAAATCAAACCAACCCTTTTTCAATTGTAGATTCTCTTAGATTCTTCAGCTTTTCCAGTTTCATGGTAACTCTTTAACATCTGGAACTTCTGCATCAACAGCCTCAGAATCAGCTTTCTTTTGCTTGGAAATGCATACATGTTCGGAAAGTTCCACCTCAGCCATATCATTATTGTCTGTTACCAGCATGCACTCGTCTTCATTATTATTTTCAGCAATATCATCAGCATTATTATTATCAGCGTTATTATCATCAGCGTCTAATAAGCTCTCCTCCTTCATTTGATTCTGCAGTGATTCAATCACATTCATCAACTCCCGGTTGACCTGCACACGATATTAAATTTGGATCAGTGCAATATAAACATTCAGATGTGATAATTAATTCTATTATTTTATTTATTTATTTATTTATTTTGGTTAGGAAAATCATAAAATGAATGACATGGAGCTCATTCGTGAAACTAATAAAATTCTGAAAGTAGTAAGATGATATACTTTCATACACATACAATATATATATATAATAAAATATTTTCAGACCTGGGGATTCTGAAGGAATTCGGATATATCATTTATGCAAGCCGGGCATTTCATAACATTCTTCTGTGTCCGCAGTGACCTCCCTCCACATGTCCTATCTTTAACAAAGGACTGACCAGCAAAGGCACCCTCTAAGCAAGACTTGCAGAAGTTATGAGCACATGGAGTGGTGAGTGGAAGATCCATCACTTTCCGACAGATAAGGCAGCTAAATTCTGCAATACAAAGGCATCACGTGACACAATGCATTCAAAATTAGCAAGTTCACTTCATATAACATGAACAAATGAATTCAGAACGACTTGTATAAAATATAACTACACAAAGACTTTTAGGATGGAGTAGAATTAGAAATAAACCTTTCAGAAGCCTTTCTTTCACAGACCCCTTTGTCTTCTGACGTTTTCTTTTCTTGGTACTCTGATCATCATCATTACAATCACTGTAGCCTTTGTTACTTTCTGGTTGAGGTCTCTTCCACATCCATAGACCCTTTTGCTCCTGCATTTAAAAGTTTTTACATCTTACCACAGAAAAGGCACTCGAAATTCTTTTCCAATTTGAACACAGTGAGGGAAAATCTTTACTTTGAATTCACATGCAAACATATGCGCGTATGAGTGTAAGCATGACAACAACAACAACAATAACATAGCCTTTTAGTCCCAAGCAAGTTGGAGTAGGCTAGAGATGAAACCCAAGAGAACCAATGGTAAGAGAAACATAAAAAAGGCTCAAAACAAAAGGAAGGGATTGGAGCAAAAAGAGAAAGGAACAAAAGTCACGGTTCTAGCACGTTGGTTGCTGGCCTCCAAACGCTCCTATCCAGCACTAAATCCTTGGAGATATTCCAATCTTTAAGGTCTCTCTTAACCAACTCTTCCCAAGTATGAGTGTAAGCACGATTTTGATAAAATAAAAACCCCTCCCTGATGCAAGAGTTGACCAGCCTATGTTCCAAGTGCATCTATTAATGTGGTTATATGCAGAGCAGTGAAAATTATAAAAAATGGTACACAACACACCCATAAAAGTTCCACACGTTAATATAAACACAACAACAAAAATGAAAATGAATAATTAGTTATAGGAATAAAAAAAAGAACCATAATATTAAGCAAGAGCTAAACAGAAATGCAAAAATATTATCATCATGATGTATAAAAATAAATAAATCATCAGCTAGGACCATATATGATTTATATGGATGAGTTGTGTTGCTTTCATATGGGGATTGTGAGTAATAAAAGGATCAAAGAATAACATGGGCTGGTTATTCTCTTTCTTTATTGGGATTGAATGATTAATATGAAATATGATTTCATTTTGTGAGATTCAACAATAAAAGAAGAGCAGGTTTTCCCTTAATAAATCTGATCCAATTATTTCTTTTAAAAATTTACAATAGATCTTGGCCATCAATGCTGTTAATGTCTAGGGATGAAATTAGTTCCTAGTTTTTAAACTAGGACAAGTTATTATTGCAACCTATATAGGATTTATGCGTGTGGATGTGTGATCACAAGAGAATAATGAAATTATCCAACTGTGGCAGTTTATTCTAGTTTCTCACGTCATAATCCCATGCAGGACTCCCTTTTCTTTGAGTGATGTCAGTAGCTTTCTTCAACTCCGGAACAGGAGGCAGCGATGATCTCGGACGGTCTCCATGGGTATCACTGTAGCAGACATTTAACTTAAGTTTCATGAATATAAAAATCAAACATGAGTACATGGGCTGAATCAGGTAAATAGGTTAGTAAATACCAAGAAAGAAAAGAAGGAAAAAATAAAAGCGAAAAGGAAAAACAACACTAGCCTTGTCCATGGTGCAGGATCATTATCACAACGAACAAAAAGATAGCGGCAGACCTTAAAACCCTGTATGAATTCAGTAATAACACATTCAGGTGACATATTTAATAACAAGACATGCAAAAATTCTTTTGCAATTTCTACCTGAGCTCCATTCTTGCGCCAACACTTTTCAATCCTGTAAATCCCATCATAACGTACGCCTTCTTGAGGTGCATAAGAAGAACGTTTCTCTTTATGGGACCTGCCCAAGATAAGAAAATTGAGCATGATTATGCTATTAAAAAATGACCGTCATTGTGAAGACTTGATGTCATCTTCGCCTGCAGTAATTCATACAGCCGAATTAAATTTGCGGCTCTTAAAATATTTGCTCAATAGGCACTACTGACTGTTCACGATTCTTTACAGTTTCAAAATACTTTACCTAGAGAAGCTTAAATCTCACAAAAGCAGCAGTAACTAAATTAATTGAGAAAAAATTCTCAAGAGTGCATATCATACCAGTTTCCTTTTTCTTACAATTCCACTGACATAGAAATACTTGCTTACCTCACCACACGTACTGGATAACCCTGTTTGCAACTGACTCGCAAAGCTTCATTGAGTTTTGTAAATGTCTGGTCGAAAGACTGTAACTTGTTTGTCCTTTTATTCCCGCTAAGATCACGTCCACCACTGAAACAAGCAATCACATGAAAATAAAGATACAAATCCAAATGGTTAATATTTAGCAGTCAGAAGATATCAGTTTCTCCAAGATACTTCTCTTCAAAGGTGGAAAAAATAGCAATATATCTTGCAATTCCATATGCATGCACCAAAGAAAGTTAATGTTTCTTTTTCTGCGAGAACTGCTCCCTTCAAAAGGTTATTAGCATCTAAATACCAAATCATAAATTCCCTAAAAAGTAAAATTTATAACGGTGTACGGATAGTTTGAATTAGTGATAGAATAATATATAGAACAAAAGATAAACAAAAAAACATGACAATTAATACAGTAGTTCACAAGATAACTTTTAAGTAAATAAACGACAAGCTGTAGTAAAGTAGACAACGTGTGCATGGTTACCACATGGGATCAGTGTATTAAGATGTATCCCTGGATTATTAAAACCCATCAGAATACAGTGACAATAACAACGTACATATCCCTTAAGCCTTGCTAAGATAAACTGACATTTTTACCACATAAGTCGCAACAAAAGAGAATTACTTGAACAAGAGTAAAGCAAGAGTTGACAATGGTGTGTCCAATGTCAACAATAGAAAATAATACTGACAACAAGTACAAAAATTGTAAATCCAGGAAAAAGGCTTCCATGCTACAAACAAAATATATTACACAAAGGAACATTGCTAATAAAACTTACAATCGTTAGATTACCCACTTTAAATTCAATTGTGGTAATAATATCAGATAATATTCTCCTAACTTTCTCGCTAAAAACTCAATGTTAACATGGAATTTACTTAACATACCTTCCAGTGTAGAGGAACCAGTCCCCATGATCCTCGTCATCTTCATAACCTCCAGACAAAGCAACTGACTGAGCACCATGATCTGCCTGACCACAGATTCCAGCAACATGAGGAAAATGGGCACCCCACTGCCTGCATTCCATCCGATCTTCCCATGTTTCCCCAACCAAGACTCCCAGCTTTCTTTCTGGGTCATTCTCCACTGTAATTGGACCAAAATGATCAAGAGGAACTGTGACAAATATCTTCCCACTGCATGCATTAGCCTTTCCAGCTTTTCGCGCTCGCTCAGTAGTGAAAGCTTTGTCTGGACGATCTTGGTTGCGGATAAACGGATAGACCTTTGGGATGCCTTCTGAAACATTTGCCTGGGAAAGTTTAGCCATCCTGATGGCCATAACGATAGTTGAGTTAATTCGGGGCTCCCTTGCCATCTTTTCAGGAATTACCTTTCGACAAATAGCACAACTCTTCTTGCACTGCTGCTGCCGCCCAATCCATTTTTGGAAGCATTTCAAGCAAAAGTTGTGGCCACATGGCGTCTGAAACAAAAGTTAGAGAGGTTAAAAGACCAAAGCTCTTCAGGTATTATACACATTTCAGTGTCTAAAACAAGACCTAAAGCAATTAAAAAGATGACAGCTCCGCAAGCAGTTTACATGCTTAGCACTTTACTTCAATGCAAATTATAAGCATTTTCTCTGGAACAACTTTTTCCCCCACAATGGCATGTTTTGCTCCAGTTTACGTTATAAGAATCTACTTATATAATCACAAAATTAGCAGTTTAACTCAGGTCAATAGTATTCAATACTCAAGCGTTTGGTAATTAGCAGTTTAACTCAGGTCAATTGCCAACAGGAAAAAAATATTTGGAAAGAAGATATTTAACGATCAAGCCATCAAGGTCGTACCACATATAAGACGGCCAAACAAACAAAACAAACAACATCTAAGACTCTGATAAGAATCACATATATAGTATGCATAATTAGCCTAACAAAATGTAGCATTAAATAGGAAACAAGTCGTACCACTGAAAAGGATTGGAGGCAACCCACATAAATCATTAAAAACGCCCAGAGAATAACTAATCGACTCAAAAACCCAGACAACCAAAGAACATTCAGCCAAACCTTCCAAACTCATCTACTAAAAATTGAGAAACAGAGAAGGAAGGATAACTCACGGAGACAGGCTTATCGAGTAGCTGCATGCAAATGGAGCAATTGAACTTATCACCCAACAACCCCAAAAGCCCTCCAGCATCACCATCTTTATCATCACTGACATCACCATGGCCGCCGGCGGTCCCGCTCAACAGCTCCTGCCGTTTCAACGCTTTCTCCCGATCCGTCAGCGAATCATCGGACTCGATCTCGCGGATCCTGTCAACGAGGCCTCCTCCGCCGTGGACGGCCGATTCAGTGGCGGCGCCGGAGCAGTCGGGGCAGTTCCATTGGGCTGCCTCGGCTAGGGTTTCCGGGGAAGCGGCGAGGCAAATGATGTGCCATGGCGTTGCGCACGTCTTACAGGAAAGCGTCTCTCCTTTAGCGCCGCAGATCATGCACACTCCGTCGCCGTCGCAGGGGAGTTGGGCCACCATTGCCGGCTGACTTTAAATTTTGTATAAGTTAATAATTGATTAGTATTGTTGTTGGTATATTATATAAGCAGCAGCTGTAGTGAAAAATGGAATGTGTAGTGCGATTGGAGGGAGAAATTGGGGAGGTTTGGCGCGGACTTGAAAATTGGACCTAAATTTTTTATTTCACTTATTTTAATTATTTCATTTCATTATTTGAGGCTAAAATTTACCATAAGAATACAAAGTGAAAATTTGGAAAATTTGTAATGTGCCTCAAAGCATTGGAAGAAAATTTGTAATGTGCCTCAAAGCATCTCCAATGTAAAAATGTTATTATCACATAAATTTTGATAAAATATCAATTATTTAGACAGATTTTGAACTACATACGATATTTTGTTAAGTTCACAACTTTAAATCTAAAAATTTATCTATAATGCACAATGTGATCAAACATAATATTGTCCATTTGGCAAAAATAAAAAAATATAAATTAGAAACAATAAATAAATAAATAGATATTTTGAAATAGTAATAATATTTCTCTCCACATTCTTCTCTACATTGTATAAATTAAATATGTCCACCTCATCACTACATTTGTGATTATATTGTGCATTATAGGATTAAAATAGAGACATTGCCAAATTTGTTAATATAAAGTGTAATTTACTACAACTAAATTTTAGCATTGGAGATGTTCTCATAAAATTTTCCTTTCTAAATGTTTTACAAGTAATAATTTAATAATTTGGCACATTAGATTTCGGATAATTTATTTTTTTAAGCAATAGTTCATTACAATTCACAACTAGGGCAAGCTAGTAAGTATAGGAGAATTATTTTGCTTGATTTTATTGGGATAAACTAAAACTAGTACAGAGCTCGTGCGATGCACGGGGTGCACAATTTTAAGACTATTTATTCAGGCTTATAATTATATACATGAATAAAGAAAAATATACGAGATATATATAGTACGTGACCCGTGCGAAGCACGGGATATATTTATTTGGAGAATATTATATTATAAGATGCAATATTCAATAAAAGTTTATAATACGCAAGAAAATTGTACAATGTTCAATAAAAGTGTTATAATATTCAAGTGAAGTCTTAAATTCTCTTGTACATTAAGACTACTGACAAAATAATATTTTAATAATGAGTTTCCTATTGTGAATGTGATTTGAGGAGTACAACAAATCGATATATAGCTGACTTGTTTTTTTCATTGTAGTTTATTTTTCTTTTTTTTATAATGAATTTAAAGATATTCTAAAATATAGCAAAAATTAATTTTTTTATTACAATTAAGAATTTTACTAAATATAGACTCTCAATCTATGGTGTTAATCAACATTTAAGTCTAAAAAATTAGGAATTTTTACCTCTTTTAATCAACGTTTAAGTCTAAAAAACAATAGAGTTATTATAAATTTTTTCTACATCTTTTAAAACATTAAATATGAGCATGTTAGGGCTAGCTTGTAAAATAATTAATATATTATCTCACTAAAACATTTATACTAATAAAAAATTAATTTTAGCATATAAATTTATCCCTTGATATAAGAAAAAATAACAGTTTTACTTATTGTTGTTCACCATATAATATTTAATTATTATTTTATTATATAATATGGATTTAATTTTTTTTATGATTTGATAATATAAACAAATCTATACTTAACTTCGACAAATAAAACAAATAAATACTTTAGTAAGTAATTAATGTATATACTAAATATGAATATATTTGGTATAATCAAATACCAAATATAATCAAATAAGTCAAAGTGTACATTTTTATTTGGTATTTGATTTTTTTATTATTAAAATCATTTTATTATACTTACCTTTTTAAAATAAAACAAATAAATAAATTAATTAAATAAATAAAATGTTATAATACCAAAATAGTAATGACATTTAATGCAGTTGACTTTTCTGGATAGTAAATGTAGTAAATAGAATCTCCTTTTATATAAGTATAGATATGATATTATATTATGTTGCTCAAAATAATAATGCATTTATTGCATTAACTTTTCAACTTACTAAATTTCTTAAATGGTACACCTTATTATATAAGTATAGATTATTGATTTCTAGCTGTATTACACTGCTACTAATTTATTTAATAAATTGGTGAGCAAACCTATGAGATTAATGTTCTAAATAAATTGAATGATTGTAATATAAATAAATAAGATTATATTATTTAATATCCATTTATTATTTTGTTTGTTATTTAATCAGTGAGTATTTATCAATTTGGTTGGTGGACTGAAAGATACATTACATAAATTATCTAAAAGATCTAAAACTATTAATGTCCATCTTTAGATTATATTAGTTTGATGATATTCAAAAGATGAAAAATCTATCAAATCAGAGCTTTAAAAATAAAATTTATCATTTATAAAATTACCAGCTGAAAACTTTAACGATCAAATATCATTTATATTATATTCAAGGGCGGAACCAGGATTTAAAACTTACCCGGACTAAAATTATAGCAGATATTAAATTAAAAAATTTGATACAAAATATTGTTTTTAAGAGCTTTTGTGACATTTTTTTTTTAAATATATTTTCAATTTAAATTTAGGACTGGACCTAAAAAAGTCATTGCCACTTCATTATAACAACAAGAAAATAAAAATTAAAAAGAAAGAAAAAGAACAATTATTGAGAACTAATTTAACTTTTTGAACAATTATTTCTCAAATTTCAAGGAGCTATTTAATTTTTTCAAAATAAAACTCCTCAAAATTGATATTTATGAGATGGTTATTGAAATTTAAAATTGTTCGATAATTTTATTTGATGTGATTATACCATATAATTTAATTAGTTAGACTAACATTATAAAATTTTTCAATTTCAATCTTAAATATATATATAATAATTTTGATTATATATATTTTATAATATATATATATATATACATATATACACACATACATACATGTATGCTCCCAAAAAGTGAAAATAAATACCCCTTAATAATTAATAGTGAAAATAATTATTAAATAATCGGGGGTGAAATTTTCACTTAGTAATAATTATTACATGATATCAATAGTTATTACTAAATAAACAATAAAAAAAATTCCATTATTATTTAACGCAAAGTAAATAAAATGAGCAAGATTTATTATAAAATTAATAAACAAAATAATGTTCAAGCATAAATGAAATGTATTATTAGGATATAATATATAACATAAAAAAATTAAAGTGAAATCAAATCTAAAATATAAATTATGAAAAAAAAAGTATAAAAATATTATAAACTCATAATTAACTGACCAAATAATTTTCTCTAAATAAATACCTTTTAATAATTAACTTGCCAAGTAAGTAATTATTGTAAACCACAATAAGCTAAATAAAAAACTTAATAAAAATATTGCAAAATAGGTCAATTTCCTTTGTGACTCGACTAAATAATAATGATTTTCAAAATATGTTTGAGCGGAATTTTTGAATTTTTTTTAAAAAATTACTTAGTTTAGTAAGTTTGAAAATTTTAATCGGGATTTTAGTTTCTATTTAAGGTAAATGCCAAACCTTTTTATATTAAGATTCACTTACATTTCATGTTTAATAATAATTGATCTACAATTGAATTTCTCATGTTTAAAAAAAAATTAAACTGGAATGAAAGGTTAAAGATTAAAAAAAAATATTTAAGCTTTCCTTAAAGTTGTCGATACTTAGCCTTAGTTTATCTTATAACTAACATGGTATGGAAGGTTAAATAAATGTGACATTAATATAAAATTGTATTATATTTTGTTTGAATTTTAAATTTCCAATGTTAGTTGAATTTAATCTTAACTAAAATTTAGGGTTACTTCTAAATTTGATTTAAAAATAAAATCTTTAGTATGATCAAGTATTGATAAATGTTGTTTTTTTTTAAAAAAAAACATATAAAAAATAAAATATAACTAGGTGTCATTCAAAAAATTTTTAAAAATGATAAGAAATCTCGAATATCCGAACCAAACCGAACCGAACCGAACCGTTCCGAATTCAGATAGTCCCGAAAATTGAACCGAATCGAAAAATAAAATCTCCGAACCAGACCGAACCGTTTTTTTGTACGGTTCTGGAGATCAAATTTTAGTGATATCCGAACTTCGATATGGTTCGAATATTGATAAATCTCCGAACCGTACCGACCCATGCTCACCATAGTGACAGTCTGACAGATCCTTTATGTCATGATAAATTGCCGTATTCTTATATCTTAACATCGAATTTCATGTATCTTCAATGATTTATCTGTTTATGGAATTATATTTATGGATTGTCTGCATAATTTTTAAATTTCGCCAAGTTATGGTGATATTCCATTAATTTTTAACATCGAGTTTCATATATTTTCAAGGATTTATCTGTTTATGGAATTATATTTATGGATTGTATACATTAACTAGTATGAGTCCTATACAGTGCACGGGTAAGAGATATTTATTAATATTTATAAACTAAAAATTCTTATTAAATAATATTTATAAATTAAAAATATGGAATGAATATGTAATACAATTTGCCTATATTAATTTATTGAAAATATTATATAAAGTTTAAATTGTGCAAAATTACATAAAAATATCTATTTAGAATTAGTATACAACTCGTGTGGTGCACATAATTGATAATAGTATCATTTCAAAAATTTTATTCAGAAAATCAATTTGACTATATGTGATTCCATAAAATAGTTATTTTAGTAAAATGTTATCATATATTAACAACCTATGTGAATAATAAGTATAAATATAAAATTTATATTGTTTCATTACTTGAAATAATTTATTATTTATTGTATAAACTATTCAAATAAAAAAAAATAAGTAGTTGAGTAATTTATTAAACTATAAATAATTGACTATTTCGTTTACGTCCAAGTTAATATTGACCCGACTTACGAATAATTTTTTTTTTTTAAATTTAAATAAAAATATTTTTATTTTTTCTTAATATATTATATACCAAATCTAAATCGTGCAACTAATAAAGGTAATAGCTGCAAGTTGTGTAAATATATTATATTCCAAATTTA